CACTTGCCATGATAGGTTAATGTTAGGGTTTGATTAAATATGAATGCTCATATGATTCAAAAACCCCAATGACTTGAGTTTTTTTTATTTGATATAATCTTTATCATGTATGGATGCTCAGCCTTAATGACTTGATGTCATACTTGAGATATTTGATCTTGATGCATGATTAGGATTTTTATTTGAAGTTACTTAAGATACCTTGTCTTGTGATCCTTGGATATTATCTTTATGATGCCCACCTTGCTAGATATATGCTTGTCACTATTAAATCTTTATGTTGCTTATGTTAAATCCAAGAGAAGGGATTATAGTTGACTTTTTTGTCATGTGCATATGCATTGTGTATTTTGTTACATCTTTCCCCACCATTTACTCCATTATTTACCCTTAGATTGTTTTACCTTAGATGGTTTACCCATTAGGTCTCGCTTTTATAACTTTAATCTTTTCATAAAAAAAACTTGACATTAGGTCATTGACTTTTCAAACTCTTTTCCTTAATAAATGCTTTAATACATCTTAATCATATTAAAGCCTTTTTTTAAGACTAAAAGACTCAAACCTCATTCAAAACTTTTGCCACTTGGCTTTTCAGTTTTAAAACCTTTTCTCAAAAAGATTAGACATGAGTCATCCCTGGTTGAGATATAATTCTCCTACCCCATAACATTGTTGAGAAATATGTATATTCTTTTCCACTTGAGGGAGGTATGAGGCATACTTGTTGATTCTATATCCAAGTTAGAGTCCTTCTCTCATTGTGATGCAAAGATCCACCATCCATATGTTTATGATGGATTAGTTGAGTATTCTCCTTAAGATGATAACTTGTCTCTTCTTCATTAAAATCAACCACAAAAAATCTGTTTTTTATTTATACCCCGAACTATGAAGTTTTGATCCATTATTGGTACATAGGCATAAGACTTTGTGTCTTACCAAACACCAAAATAATAAAAAACACTTATTTTCTCATCTCCCCAATCTTTTTCAGCAAACACTTTTAATCTAACACAAATATTTCAAGAGGTTCCTATAGGATACTATAGATACTTAGGGTGCTTGTACCTTCCCTTAGTATAACCAACCCTCATACCCTAGATCTCTTATTTAATTAGCCTTTAGCCTTTGTGTGCTTTGTATATTTATTGTGGGTTTATTTGTTCTTTTCCCTTTCCCTTGGAGAAATAAAAGATCGGTGGTGACATCTAGTTTTATGAATCTAGCTAATCAATAAGATAGGATAATGGTATAATCAAAAGTTACATGCCTGGAGTAATATTAAGCATGAATAACATATGATATAACCACACTCAGCGGAGACCCCTTTGAGGGTAGTATTTTTCATTGTGATTAGTCATAATGGCATTATTGCTTTCGACCTAGGAGTTCAAGAAGCTAAGGACCTTTAGAACCCTATAACCCCTCTTGGCCGTTTTAGGATGTAATGCGGTGATTATCCAGGTGTAGACATGAGGTAGTTGATACGCGATACTATACTCAGACGAGTTTCTCTTGAAAATATTATTGGCCCGCACAAGTAGTTATACAAGCCAGTAATATCCAAAAGATGAATCAATGACTATGAGAACTTTTTTAGAACCTTGTTCTACAGGAATGATAAACCCATAGTATATAACTTGTGGGATGGTTAGAAACCTTGCTCCATGCTCGTGACATCAAACCTTTGAACCCCATATGTTTGTAACCTTTGTTTGTGATTGTTGCACAGACATGCATTCATGCATCCATGAAAACTATTTTTGGATTGGTTTCAAGGAGCTTATATATCTTTTACTTGTAAACATCATAGGTATCAGTATCATGGATTTTGGAAGAAGGAATACTAAGAAGTATAGCTTTAAGAGTCATGATTTGACATGGTTGAGAAAGTTAAGATCTATGGTATCTAGTTCTGAGGATTTCAGAGGTCGTTATGAGAAGCTTTTGGGTATTCTTAAAACAAAGATTGAAAATAGATTTCTTGACAACCTTGTGCAGTTTTATGACCCTCTCTATCATTACTTCATGTTCCCTGATTATCAGCTTGTTCCCACTATGGAGGAGTATTCGTATTGGGTTGGTTTTCTAGTATCAAACAAAATTCCTTTCAGTGGTTTAGAGAAGATTCTAGAACCTCCAGTCATTGTAGAAGCCCTTCATTTGGAGACATCTGATGTGAAAGCTAATCTTACTTCCAAAGGGGTATCCAAGGGTTGACTTCTAGGTTCTTGATGGGGAAAGCTTTTGTCTTAGTTGAAGCGGATACTAGAGATGCTTTTGAAGTTATCCTTGCATTACTTATCTATGGTCTTGTGTTGTTATCTAACATTGAAAATTATGTTAATGTTAACGCCATCAAAATATTCTTGATCAGTAACCCAATGCCTACTTTACTTGGAGACACTTACCATTCTATACACCTTAGGACTTCTAAAGGTGTTTGAGCCATCACATATTGTGCAACTCTGTTATATAAGTGGTTTAAGTCGTACTTGCCTCGATCCTGGCTCTTCCTGGAGAATCCAGATAAGTTTAGGTGGTCTCAAAGGCTTATGTCTATTACTCATGAAAATTTGACTTGGTATATCCCAGCTTAGGATATTGGAGTGATCATCGATAGTTGTGGGGAATTCCTTAATATACCTCTTTTTGGTATAGAAGGGGGAATCAACTAGAATCTTATTCTTGCAAGGCGTCAGTTTGGGTATCCTATGTAGGACAAACCTTGCAACATTGTGGTTGTAGGTTTCTTTTATCTTAATGGAGAAGGGAATTCATATTTAAAGGATATAGTTGTACATGTTTGGCGCAATATTCACAGGAAGGGTAAAGATCAATTAGAGAAGAAGAAGTGTGTTGATTTTGAGCCCTACACTCAGTGGATGCATACTAGAGCTTGTGAACTCAAGATGCCATATCCCCTCAAGAGGCCTTCACTATCATTTGTCATATTGTCATGTACCATCCCCATTGAGAATAGGGAAGAGTTTCAAGAAATTTTGGCAAGGATGAAGTTAGAGAGAGATACTTGGGAGGGAAAATACCATGCTTCAAATGCTGAGATGATAGAGTTGAAGAAACAGCTAAAGGAGAAGGATGATTTTATCGAGATACTTGAGCAACATGTTATGGAGAAACAAGAGGAGCAAGAGAATTTATTTTTCTCTAGTGTTCAGCCAGTTCCTAGTGTTCATGAGTATTTTGATATTCTACCTACCTCCGGTGCTTGGAAGAAAATTTTCGACAAGCTTAGGGTTGAAAATTCTAAGTTGAAGTGGCAGAAGAGGAAGCATCCGCAAGAAGTTGGACTTTTGTCAGAAGGGATTCCATAGGACCTATAGGATTTAGTTGTTTTCCTCTTGTATTTTTTAGGATCTTTTTAAATTGTACTTCAAATTGTAATCCTTCCATTATTGATGAAATGAGTTTTTTTTTCTCAGCTATTCAAAAGTATCATCCCTTTATGATGTTTGCAATTTGTATGGCTATTAAGTTCCTTGAAAACATATAACTCATTTGCATTGCATAATCATGCATCATTCGGCATTGAGCTTTTGCATTTCACTTATCCGTGTATTTTGTCTCCATTAGTTAAGTTGTTTCATCAATACAACACTCGAGCTAATCGACGAAAAGGATGGGTTAACTAGAACAAGAGAACTTCGAGCTCCGAGAGGAAGTGCCTACTTTGAAATAAATTTTGGAAAGACTCTCTCCAATGATGAAAGTTTTGGTGGCTGCTCAGAATCATCCACCTCCATATCCTCCTCCTCAGAGAACTGTGATCTCCGAGATTGTTTTCATGCCTGTTTGTGCAGCGTCTACCAATGCTCCTCAACACCAGTTGCCTCCCATTTTTCTTTGGGGGATTGTAATACCCTAATTTTTACCCCTAAGATCCCACATTTCATTTTTGCATACACAAACAAGACCATACTTTTTGGTTCTCTCAGCGCACTTGTGTTTTCTACTTGCTTTATGTTTATTTCTGTTTACTAACCTCTAACCAAAATACCAAAAATATTTTTCAATTTGTTTGTTTCTTATTCTTCTCTGTGTGTTTAGGGTTTTGCAAGGAGATTAATGGCAAAGACATTCATTCAAGTTTAAATCAGATGGACGTTTGACCTCATCTTGGTCAAACTATCAAGAGCTTGCTTCAATTATAAGTTACCCGTGGTGGTGGGCTATTTTCTCAGGAAACGTGATTTTTCAAGATCAAATTGGCTTGTGTTAAAATTCATTGATTTATCAAGCAGTGTTCTATGAGAAGTTTGGTCCAGATATTCAGAGAATTATGTCAAAAATCAAAATTGATGGCCGATGATTGAGTTGCAAATTATTCAGTGGTTCGTCTTTGAATCTATCAGGGTAAAGTCAGAATTTGGTTTAGATGATTGTTGCTTCAGGTGCAAGAAATTCATTGGTCCAAAAGTAGTTGTATTCATTTTATCATAGATGTGTGCATATCTGAAGAACTTCTAGTTGTCCTTATGAAATTACTAATGAAGTATCTGATGGATGACTCAGTGAAAATTGTTGATATGGCATCACAAACTCTCCGTGTAATTCTTTCAACTGAAAGAGGCCAAAAAGCTTTACGGTCATTTGATTCTTACCAAAAGTCTCTCGTCGAGATACATTCCAAAGGCGTTAATATCGAACTTGTGGAAAATTTCCTTTTGGATTTGGATAGGAAGTCAAAAGCTTTCCAAGCTACTTCTGGGTGGACAACATCAGTTATTATCTCAAATTTGACAAAAATTGCAAAATCCACTGTGGGGTTGTCCTTGTCTGTGGAAACATCGCAAACTCTTTCCGTTTCTGAGTATATAAAACAAAGGGCAATATAGTGGGAGCAAGGAAGAGAAGTTTTTTATACACAACCATTTGGCATTTACTGTCAGATATCATAGGGATCTGCTCACTGAATCTGCTAGAATTGTGGGCTTTGAGGTCAAGCCATTCAGTGTCAAACATGAATATGAAGGGAAATGGGAGGAAAAAAAACTCGTTTAACTACCTGTGACCCTCATGTTAAACATACAGTTGTCAACTCCAATACTCCTCAAGAAGTTGAAGAGGGCAAGGAAATCATCTTCACGTACGATGTTGAATTCCAGGAGAGTGATGTGAAGTGGGCTTCAAAATGGGATGCCTATTTGCTGATGAATGACGATCAAATTCACTGGTTCTCAATTGTGAACTCATTGATGATTGTTCTCTTTCTCTCGGGTATGGTGGCAATGATAATGTTGAGAACACTTTATCGCGATATTTCCAAGTACAACGAGCTTGAGACCCAAGAAGAAGCACAAGAAGAGACTGGTTGGAAGCTTGTTCATGGTGATGTTTTCAGGCCACCAAACAACTCAAATCTGCTGTGTGTTTATGTTGGTACTGGGGTTCAGTTTTTTGGGATGATACTAGTAATAATGCTCTTTGCTGTCCTTGGATTCCTTTCTCCTTCAAACAGAGGTGGGCTAATGACAGTCATGCTCTTGCTATGGGTTTTCATGGGGCTTTTGGCTGGTTATGCATCAGCCCGCTTATACAAAATGTTCAAAGGATCAGAGTGGAAGAAAATTTCCCTCAGGACTGCAGTCATGTTCCCTGCTTCTGTCTCTGCTATTTTCTTTGTATTGAATGGTCTTATATGGGGGCAAAAATCATCTGGAGTTGTGCCATTTGGAACAATGTTTGCTTTGATCTTTTTATGGTTTGGAATCTTAGTTCCACTTGTTTTTGTTGGTGGCTATGTTGGGTTCAGGAAACCTGCAATTGAGAATCCTGTGAAGACAAACAAAATCCCAAGGCAGATCCCTGAACAGGCGTGGTACATGAACCCGACCTTCTCAGTTTTGATAGGGGGAATACTCCCATTTGGAGCTGTTTTCATTGAGCTTTTCTTCATCCTCACATCAATCTGGTTGAATCAGTTTTACTACATCTTCGGCTTCCTCTTTTTGGTTTTCGTCATCCTCGTTATCACTTGCGTAGAAATAACTGTTGTGCTTTGCTACTTCCAGTTGTGCAGTGAGGATTACTTGTGGTGGTGGCGCTCTTACCTCATATCTGGCTCTTCTGCACTGTACCTCTTTCTTTATGCAAAATTCTACTTCTTCACCATGCTTGAAATCACGAAGTTGGTATCTGCGATATTATACTTTGGTTACATGTTTATAGCTTCTTATGCCTTTTTTGTCGTAACTGGTACCATCGGATTTTACGCATGCTTTTGGTTCACAAGGCTCATTTACTCATCAGTTAAAATTGATTAGACACACTCATAACAGTCAGTGGTCTGGAGTACCCTACTATACTTCCTAAAGGATGAGGAAAATGTGTGCAAGAATTTTGAAATTCAGGTACTATCCTGTTCAGATTCAGAAAGTTTCCCAGCATATATGTGTTGAATTTCCCGGCAGACACTGTTATTATATTTGATTCAGACTGAAATCCTCAAAATGACCAGCAGGCAATGAGTAGAGCTCATAGAATTGGGAACAAGATGTTGTTAACATATATAGGTTTGTGACAAGCAAAAGTGTCGAAGAAGATATTCTGGAGCGTGCCAAGAAGAAGATGGTTCTGGACCACTTGGTGATTCAAAAACTGAATGCAGAAGGTAGATTGGAGAAGAAAGAAGACTGATAAAGGAGAGGCCTTGAAAGAATCGTACATTCATTATATGGAACGCCCAGATGGATTAACGGTTGCTGCCAAACTTGTTCACAGAAACTGGCTTCATCTACTCAACTGCAGCGAAACTACGGTTCTATTGCCTATTGATGTTATTTCTCAACTCCCAACAATCAGCAGCATCAAACATGGCACTTCCCAAAGTTCTCATGGTCGAAGAGAAACCTAGCATCGCTCTCTCCAATCCTTTCAGACATGTCAAGTGGATCTGTGAGACGGGTTTCTCGGGAAGATATCCAGCTGGTACAAAATCTCATAGAACGATGTCTGCAACTATATATGAACCCAAAAGAAGTTGTGGAAACTCTACTTCTCAGCAGTTTGCAGGTCTGGAGCAGGAAAATGGTGCTGAAACCATAGTTCAGCAAATAAACCTTTCAGTGGATGGTGCTACTTGGGAAGAAGAGAGAAATGTAGACTTTGGTGGTCAAGATACAGGTGAAGAAAGCCTGCATACTAACGAGCCTATGTCTGTTCAACCACTTTCACTGAACATCATGCCAAATGGTCTAGATTGCACTGTAAATGAAATAAATGTTGTTCCCAGTGATAATGTAGCAATACCCCAGGAGTTTGTAAACTCATCTATTGAGTCTAGTGCTGATGTACAAGGCGGAAGGACTGATAATGAACTTACTGACAACCAAAATGTGCCAGTTATACCATTGGTTTGCGATGGAACATCAAATGTTGCCAGACAGCCTACTAATCTTGAGTTACCGGACTCTGGTTTGGAGACTCCTAATCCAAGTGACCCTGCATCATTAGTAAACGCCAATGTTGATGTTGATATGGGTGGTGTTGATGCTGAAAGAAGTCAGTCTAGGCAACCAACAGTTTTTGAAGACATGAGGGATGCATTGTTATCAACTCAGAACACAGGGGTTACTCCAGATGATACTCAGGCTGAAAATTTGAGTGCAGTATTTGCTGCTTTAAATGACGAGGATTTTGATGTTCGAGAGTATACAATTTCTGTGGCTGGAAGGTTGTTAGAGAAAAATCCTGCATATGTTCTTCCAGCTCTTCGTCAATATCTCATGCAGTTGTTAACATACTTGGGGCAAAGTGCAGATAGCAAATGCAAGGAGGAAAGTGCGAAGTTAATTGGGTGTTTGATAAGGAATTGTGAAAGACTAATACTTCCGTACATTGCTCCAATTCATAAGGCACTTGTGGCCAGACTTCTTGATGTTAGTGCCAATATTGGAATTATAAGTGGAGTCCTTGTAACTGTGAGGGATCTTGCTAGGATGGGCGGTTTTGCAATGAGGCAATACATTCCTGAACTTATGCCTTTAATTGTTGAAGCTTTATTGGATGGAGCAGCTGTCTCAAAACGTGAAATAGCTGTTGCTACCCTTGGTCAAGTTGTACAGAACACTGGGTATGTTATTACTCCATATAACGAGTATCCACAATTACTTGGGTTACTCTTAAAATTACTGAATGGTGAGCTAGTGTGGTCTACCAGAAGCAAAGTATTGAAGGTTCTTGGCATAATGGGTGCTTTGGATCCTCATTTGCATAAACAAAACCAAAAAGCACTTCCAGGGCCTCATGGAGAAGTTACGCGCCCTGCTTCTGATTCAAGTCAACAAATTCAGTCTATCGATGAATCTCCCATGGACTTGTGGCCATCTTTCGCTTCATCAGATGACCATTATTCCACGGTTGCGATTAATTCTCATGCGGATTTTGAGGGACCCGTCACTTGCTAGTTATCACTTAAAGGTGGTTGGGTCTCTGATGTTCATATTCAAGTCAATGGGACTAGGATGCGTTCCATACTTGCCAAAGGTTTTGCTTGATCTCTTTCACACTGTTCGTACATGTGAAGATAGTTTGAAGGACTTTATAACATGGAAGCTTGGAACTCTGGTGTCAATTGTGCACCAACACATTCAAAAATATTTGCAAGATTTGCTTTCTTTGGTTTCAAAGTTATGGTTAGCATTCTCTCTTCCAGCACCAACTCGTCCTACCCTTGGCTATCCGGTACTTTACCTGGTAGAACAACTTTGCTTGGCTCTTAATGATGAATTTAGGACATATCTACCGGTTATTCTGCCGAGATGTATTTAGATAATCAGATATGCGCGGTGAATGGTTAGTAGAGATAGCTCCACATTACTATGATTCAAATTTTCCACAATGCGAGGCGAAGTGTGTTCTTGGAAAGTTGTGTGAGAAGAGATGAGCCAGGAGGATTCTGGTATGAATGGTGTTGCCACATTACCGAACTCGATCCCTGCATAATTCAGAACCAGCAACAGCAGCAAAACTTCAATCTTGCACCAGAGGAACTGAGTCCATCTGAAATAAGTGAGACGTATCACTACTTCAGCTGTCAATTAATGTGAGCCATTACAAATCATGATAATATAATTCCAGTTGTGTTTCGCGTATCCAAGCCAAAGCCAAATCCCAGTCGTGTTACAAAGTCAATTGAGCCAGCTGTAACAAAGATGAAATAATCCACGTCACCTAAGTGAGTTACAAAAAAGAAAAGGAGTAAAAACGACATGAAAAAAAATAACAGCAAAAAAGTCACGCACAACTTGCATCACAAAACGCAGTGAAAATTTCACAAACGGCAACCATTTTTCACTCACTCTCAATCTATAAATAGGGTGCATACCTCTTCATTTTTCTCAAGCTTTTCAAGCCAAGAAAGTTCTGCAAAATTTTCTCTGAATATTCACTCCAAAATTCATCTTCAAGTTTCAATTCCAAAATTCAAATTCACCAGCAACAAGTTTCAACGCAAATCAACAACCGTTCTTTGGAAGGAAGAAAAAGAAGAAGAATCGAAGTGTTGCTCACCTTGAATTAAAGGTAATTTGGAGTTTTATATCGAGACTTTGCGGTTTCGATTCGGTTGATCCAAGCACCATTACACAAAATTGATAACACATTTGAGATGTACGTTGGATTCCGATCACAACCGTGTTGGTTTTGCGTCCCGCCGCTTTGATTTGAACAAGCTTCGAAGTGGTATCCATGGCCGTGAATAGTGTCCAGAGCGCAAAAATGAAGAAGATGATGTTTTCTGATTTTCTTTTTTCCTTTTCACTTTTCATTTGTTTTCAATTATATTTTTATTTTTTTTTCATTTTCTATTTTATTTTTCTTTGTTTAAAAAACTTGGCCGTGTGGGCCTTTCCATTTTTTTTGCTATTAATTTGTTTTTCCTAAATAATACTTTTGAAAAAAAACTCTTAAAAAATTATTTGAAAATATTTTGGTTTTGGATTAATTGTTGGTTGTTTTGGATCTTGAATTTTTGATAAAATCTCATCAATATCAATGGACTTTGGGTGTCGATTTTATCCACCAAGAGAGGTGATTGATATTGATGATGATTTAATCGATTTAAGATTCAAATTGTGGTTTCTTTTCATTTTAATTCTCTTTCTTCTTCTTTTTATTTTTGATCGATGAAATCTATGGATCATAGATTGTTGATTATCAAGGTTGTTTAATCTTCATTATTTCAAATCTATGGACGAATAATCATTGAGATAATTCTCCGTACTTTGGAATAGTGATAGATTACCTTTGATTAATTAATGAAAAATCTTGATTATGATGAGATCACTACCTCTTTTCTTTTTGTGTGACATGTTTTAGGAGAGTGATTTACATATCACTTCTCTAACATGTGTTAACACTAACATTATTATTGACCGGCCTCAGATAGTCGTGGTTTCTACATAAACCCGATTACGATTGCTTAACATAGCGCTAAAGTGTCCCTTAATCGGAAAATGATCATTCGTGGCTCAAACTGATGTTTAAAAGTCCAAGTTTGATTAGTTGTTTGTCTTAAGTCCAATACCTATGAAAATCATTGTTAGGAGGCTTTGATTCTATCAATCCTCTAATGAGCTTTCATTAACCTTGGTCTAAGTGCAAGAATTAATCATCATTGATCATATGTTCTAACCACTAACCACTAATTCACTAACAATATCCTTTTTTAATTTTGTTTATATTCTCTTCTTACTTCTTATTTCTTACTTTTATGTTTCCATATTATCATTTCATATCATATCTTTGTTTATGTTTATGTCATTTCTCTTTTGTCCACTTGGACCATACCTTGTTCAAAACACTAATAAAGGATAAAAAATCTCTAAAAAACTTGGTGCTATTAACTTTGTGGTTATGCTCTTGGACTACTCTTAGACCTTGGACTTCATGGACCTTTGGACTTTGAATTAGGACTCTCATTCCTATGCTTGGAGTATTGTGGATCTTAGCCTTTATTTGGCTTGCTCATTAGCTTATGCTTTAAATCGGATGGAATTCTTTTTTCTTGCTATGGAATGTGCTACAAGTCGGTTAGATCTTTTTTACCTCTAGCTCTTATTTTGGTTTCTAGGATAGTCACTTCATCTCCTCCCCTTCTTAAATTTTCAAAACTTTCTCCCTCTTTCAAAACCTTCTTGGTTTCAAACTTCAAAACCGCTTTCGCAATAAAACCTTGACTTTCGTCAAGTGATTTTCAAACTTTGTTCTTCTTAATAAAAGTCAATCAATGTTAATCATGCTTTGACCAATTTCAAAAGACATA